GTGGGGTCAGCCCCTGAATCAGGGCACATATAAGAATCAACCAATGAATGCATAAAAAAGTGGAAAACAAATATATATATATCTCTCTCTCCCCTCTCCCTCTCTTCCTCTTTTTCTCTAAAAATCAATAAAAATATAAAATAGCTAGCTTCAGTCTCTGTCAATATTTTCTGTTCTTCATTGTTTTCCCATGCCATTAATTTCTGCTCATATTGTTTGTCTTCTGCTTTTGTGTGTGTGTGTGTGTGTGTGTGTGTGTGTGTGTTTTCCATTCATCTTTAGAGAGAGTGGAAGGGAGGGAGGAGCAGGGAGAGAAAGAGAAAGAAACATGGACTTCACATCGACCGGTTGTCTCCCAAACTCACCCCAACTGGGGCTGGGAATCGAACCTGCAACCAAGGTATGTGCCCTTCACTGGGAATCGAACCCGAGACCCTCTGGTCCTTGGGCCAACGCTCTAACCACTGAGCAACCGGCCAGGGCGGCTTTTTCTTTTTCTTTTCTTTTTTGCATTTATGCTGTTGTTCATTTTCTAATTTTATGAGTTGCTTATTTAGTCTTTTTTTCTTTCCTAATATGAGCATGTGAGGCTATAAATTTTCTTCTCAGTACCACGCAGATGCATCCCACAAATTTTAATATGCTACAATTCTAAGTATTTTCTAATTTCCTTTATGATCTTTCTGACCCAGAAGTGTGTTTTTAAAGCTTCACACCCAGGAAGTTTGTTAGTTATGTTTTTTTTTATTTAATTTAAATTCTTTATTGTTTAAAGTGTTAGTTATATTTTTTAAGTTTTTGATTTTTAAGTAAATTGTATTGTGGTCAGGGGACATAGTTCATATGTTACAGATTATTTTAAAATTGTTGAAATTTATTCTTCACCTAAGCCTTAGGTAAATAAGGTTATCTTAAACATTTAGTAAATGTTCGCATTTGCTTGAAAACAATGTGTATCGTCCAATTATTGGGTGCTGAGTTCCACCTATGACTATTGGATCAAGCTTGTTGATTACATGTTCAAATCTTACACATCATATTAATTAGTATATTGTCTGCTTAATCTATCAACTTCTGAAAAAGAAGTGCTAAAATCACTCACAATTCAATTTCACTTTAATTCAATTTCATAAATAGGTACTGAGTAGCTGTTGTGTACCAGATACTATCCTAAGCCCTTATATCAGTGAACAGAGTAGTCAGATTTTTTTATGTAACTTAAAGTCTAGTGGAACAAACAGACAATGAGCAATAAGACATAATAAATAAGTAAGTTATGTAGGGTAAATTATATGTTAGAAGGTGATAAGT